AGGAATAGAGGTGCCAAATAAGCACTTAAAATCATTAGGTTATAAAAGACTAAATCTTCTATAACAAGAAACCAATAATGTCAAAACCTAATGAGTCAAGAAATTACAAAATAAACATATTACACAGAATTATAGAGGTAAATAGCTAAACAAATTTAAGGTGATTTTTACCTCTGGCTCTAAGGGAAGGGGCAGTGAAGGCTGTTATTTCCCATTGTAATACTAAATGACTTTCTATACGATGATGAAATGTATGGCTACATACACAAATATATACATATTTTTTAAAGGGGAGTATGATTACCCTGGTAGGTGTGGCTCAGTAAGATGGAGCATCATTCCATGTACCAAAAGGTGGCAGGTATGATTCCCGGTCAGGGCACATACCCAGGATATTGGTTTGACCCCCAGTTAGGACACATGAAGGAGGCAACCTATCGATATTTCTCTTACTTCAATGTTGCTCTCTATCTATCTATCTATCTATCTCTCCCTTCCTCTCTCTAAAATCAATAAAAAAAAAATTTTTTTAAATGCTGAATTATATCTAGAAAGCCAATGAAGGAGATAAAATAAAACACACACAAAAATATTTGATTAACTCAAAAGCAGAAATAAAGGAACAGAGAAACAAACAAAAAAAAAATAGGTAACACAAATAAAAAGGAAATAGCAAAATTGCTGACCTAAATATATCAATATTGATAATTACATTAAATATAAATGGACTATACACTTCAAGATAAAAGCAGAGATTGTCAAACTGAATAAAAAAGCAAAATCTATTTAAAAAAAAAAAAAGCAAAATCTAGTTTATGCCAATCTATAAGAGATGCATTTAAATACAAACATTCAAATAGTTTGAAAGTAAATGGGTAGAAAAAGATATAGCAACTGAACAGTAACACACAAGAAAACTGGAGTGGCTATATTAATGTAGAAAATAATGTAAAAAAATTAATGTCCAATAAAAAATACTTCACTGAGTATTACTAGAGACAAAGGGATAATTCACAATGATCAATCAATTCAATAAGAGGAAAAGTAATCCCATATGTGTATATACGTAATACAGAGCTTCAAAATTCATGAAGCATAAACTAACATAAGAAATAACAGACAAATCCACAATTATACTTAAAAATTTCAACACTCCTCTCTCAAGAACCAGTAGACAAAAAATCAGAAGGATACAGAAGATCTCAGTGATGCTATAAACCACCTTAACCTAATTGATATTTATAAAACATACACTCAACAAATACAGAATACATATTTTTTTCAAGTGATGAAAATTCAGCAAGGTAGACTAGATGATGTGCCATAAAACAAGTCCCAATAGATCTGAAAAGATTAAAATCTTACAGAGGCTATTCTCTAAACCACAAAGGAATTAGAAACAAGCAATAAAACATTAGGCAAATCTCAAAATCTGTATACTAAATGACTCCCTTTTGAATAACACATGGATAAAATTAGAAATCACAAAGAAAATTAGAACATATTCTGATAACTGATAATGAAAATATAACATATTGAAATCTATAACAGCTAAAATAATGCAGAGTGGAAAATTTATAGCCAATGATATATATCCCACCTTAGAAAGCTAAAAAAAGAAGAGTAAACCCAAAGTAGAAAATTAGATTTCATAAAAATTTTTAACTTTCATTCTCCAAAACACACAACTAATAAAATACTAAAGCAAGCCACAGAGTGGGAGAAAATATTTGCAATACACATATTTGACAAAGGACTTGTATCCAGCAAATGTATTAAAAAACTCACACAAGCCCTAACCAGTTTGGCTCAGTGGATAGAGCATCGGCCTGCGGACTGAAGGGTCCCAGCTTCGATTCCGGTCAAGGGCATGTACCTTGGTTGCAGGCACATCCCCAGTAGGGAGTTTGCAGGAGGCAGCTGATCGATGTTTCTTCTCTCATCAATGTTTCTAACTCTCTATCCCTCTCCCTCTCCCTTTCTCTCTGTAAAAAATCAATAAAATATATTTTAAAAAAAAGAAAAGAAAAACAATAAAAATGGGCAAAATATCTGAAAAGATAATAAAAAATACATTAATGGCCAGCACACACATGAAAATATGTTCCACGTCTTTATTTATCAAGAAATACAAATTGAGAATGTAAATGAACTAAATAGATCAAAAAAAGAGCAAAGATTAAAAAAAAACAGCTACATACTACTTATAAGAGACACACAGCGAAGAAAACAACCCTAGCTTGTTTGGCTCAGTGGATAGAGCATCAGCCTATGGACTAAAGGGTCCTGGGTTCAATTCCGGTCAAGGGCACATACCCAGGTTGCGGGCTCAGTTCCCAGTAGTGGGTGTGCAGGAGACAGCCAATCAATGATTCTCATCATTGATGTTTCAATCTCTCCCTCTCCCCTCCTCTTTGAAATCAATAAAAATATATTTTAAAAAAATATATTTAAAAGAAAACAGAAAGCTTAAAAATAAAAGAATGAAAAAGATATACCATATAAGCACTAATCAAAAGAAAGCTGTCATAACAATAGTATTAAAGGAAAAAGTGGACATTAGACAAGAAGCATTAGTAGAGACCAGAAAGATTTCATCTTGATAAAAGGATCAATCCAGCCTGGCTGATGTGGCTCAGTGGTTGACATCAACCCATGAACCAGAAAGTCATGGTTTGATTCCCAATCAGGGCACATGATGGGGTTGTGGGACTGATCCCCAGTAGAGGGCATGCAGGAAGAAGCCGATCAATGTTTCTGTCTTATCACTGACTAGAGGCCTGGTGCACAAAAATTCATGCACTCGGGAGGCGGGTCCCTCAGCCCGGCCCACGCCCTCTTGCAGTCTGGGACCCCTCAGGGGATATCTGACTGACAGCTTAGGCCCGCTACCTGGGAGCCCTCAGGGGATGTCCACCTGCCAGCTTAGGCCTGCTCCCTGGGGGATCGGGACTAAGCTGACAGACAGACATCCCTCTGGAAGCCCAGGAGCCCCTGGGGAGTGGGCCTAAGCCAGTAGTCGAACACCCTTAGCGCTGCAGCAGAGGCGGGAGAGGCTCCTGCCACTGCCGCTGCGCTGGCCAGCCATGAGCTGGCTTCTGGCTGAGCAGTGTTCCCCCTGTGGAAGCACACTGACCACCAGGAGGCAGCTCCTGTGTTGAGCGTCTGTGCGCGTCATAGCGACAGGTGGTTCCCAGTCATTCCACCGTTAGGGTCAATTTGCATATTATCCTTTTATTATAAAGGGACTTTATCTCCCTATCTCTTCCTCTCTGAAAATCAATAAAAATATATTTTTAAAATATATATATGTGTGTGTATGGACTAGAAGTGAAAAATAAAGCAGTCATTATTTGCAGACAAGATAACTGTGTATATGTAAAATCTAAAAGAATCTACACACTATTAGAATTAAGTGAAGTTAGCAAGGTTTCTGGATAGAAGGTTAATTATGAAAACAAACTGTATTTCTCAATATAAGAAAGCTTATTTTTAAATGACATTGTTTATAACATCAAAAAACGTAAGTCCTATACACACACAAAAAAATCTCAAAACATCACTGTGAGAAATTATAGAATATTTAAATAAATGGATAAATATATCATTCGTGGATTGGAAGACTCGATACTGGTGACACTAGTCAACTTTCCCCAAACGGACCTATATTTAATGTACACAACTCCAAACAAAATCCCAGGCATGTTTTTGTAAAGGGGTGTAATTTGATAAGCTGATTATGAAATTTATATGGAAAAACAAAAGACTAAAAATAACAAGTCAATCTTGTAGAACAACACTGGAGGACAGCTCTCAGATCTTAAGACTTATTACAAAGCTACAGAGATGATGTCATTTGGCTCAAAAATAAATAGAAGGCCAATGGAATAGAATAGGGAGTCCAGAAACAAACTTCCACATAGTCTCCCAAATTTATGACAGAGACATTGAAGTACAGTGAAGAAAAATGACTCTTAGATAAACAGTGCTATCCATATGAGGGAAAATATCTTAACTTCTTTCTATATATTATATATTAAAAAATAACAAAACAATAGAGCTTCTTGAAATACAACAGGAACAATTCATTGAGATGGGAAAAGATTTCTTAACTAGAACACACTTACCTAAAAGGAAAATTTCATATACTGTCGTACATTAGTTTTAGGAAAATCATGAGATAGCCAATCTGTGGACAATGATTTGGGAACCTCTTCATCTACCCATCTGATAATTTACTTAATTCTACTTACGTAACATCTAAAAAACTGCTTTTGCTTTTGTGAATGAGTAATACCTTGATTTATGAAATTAAATCCATAAAACTCAAAATGAGAAGTTCAAATAATAATGATTTTTAATAGTTAGGACTTTTAATAACTATCGAAAACTCAACAAAGAATCAAATACATCTTTAATTTAATATATGAAGTAGCACTGTTTTCACTCATTTTAAAAAGTTCAGTTTTACTCCTAATTAAATCCTACTACTGCTAATACTCAGTTATCACAGGTGATTAAAAACAGCAACCCAGCACCAAGTGCCCTGTTAAGTAGACATGAACAAAGCTAACTTAAATCAGGGCAAACACCCAGAGCTGCAGTCTATGGAGAGTAAAAATAAGCCATCTGCTATAACAAAAGTAATCTGAAAGATACAGAGTAATAAGTCTGCTCTTCTATCATTTATTTTAATGGTGAAAATTCAGTTTGCTCAGCCGGGATCATAGCTACAATATGATAAACCTTTCTCCCAGTCTGGAAAAACAGCTACACATCATCTTATTTATTCAAAAAGACTCCTTAGGTCCACAAAATAAGGGAAAAGAGTACAATAAAGAGAACGTTAGTTTCCAGAAGGTGCAGATTTAAAATGGTGTTAATGAAAAACTGAATACAATCTCTCATTCACTGTCCATGCCAAACTTCATTAAGACAATACACATTTATCTTTTACTGTGTGAAGGACACTGTGTATTCTCAACTGCTGAACATTTTACCTTTGCAGCAAGCCGTAGTCCAATTTTGTCAGCTTCAGCCTCCAGTGTTCTACTGTATGGTCTACTGAACAAATACTAAGAAGAAATAGAAAAGAAAAGCTCCACTCAGGTTATTTCACAGCAAAATGAGACTTTTAAAGTTAATTTCATGGAGTACCTAGAATCAAGTTTTTATACTCTCCACTTATTAACATTTAAAGAACACCATGGCATAAAACATACAGTGCAGCCTTTATTTCCTCCACCAGATATTAATATTTTTTAAAACATAGAAAGAATAAAAACAAAATCATGCCTACAAACTTCTGGAGAGTCTATTGTATCACATAGAGTACTTTTCACCCATTTATAATCTCCACCTACTGTGTGGAAGATTCCCTAAGAAAGCTTATTGATGCAGCCTTTTATTATGGCCAAGGAATAGCTTGATCTTGGAGTTTTAAAAGAAAATTGAAAAAGTATAGCCATATAATAGCCAGTGACACTACCAGAGGATTTATTTCAGTTGGAAAATTAACCATATAGCAGAATGTTCTTTCTTTGACGAACTATCTTAATTTCCTTTTTTTCTAGGTATTGATTAGTTAGGAAAATGAAATTTTCTTCCAACCTCAATTAAAAAATGCAAATAGATATTGTAACTTTAATTTTCCTAATTACTTGTATTTATGTGAATGCTTTCCAGTTAAATTCTCATTTTCAGTAAGCACTAAAACTTTGCAGGAGATGGATCAATAGGCAGAACTTTTGAGAAAAGAGCTATTAATTGGGGAAGCAATTTTTCAGAAGTACATGCCAGTGAGAGCTAGAAATAATATAATCAATCTGACTCACAGTATGTGACCATTGTCTATTACTTCCTTCCTCCTCGGTAATGTCTGTTTTAGGTTGCTAAACTGTGTCATACAGTGTCTTCACTCTCCACAATTCATCTCCAGGTGTCCCATCAAGTCCACTGATAGTATAACTAATTAAAAACACTGGCTTTCAAAGGAGACAAAATCAGGTTCAAGTCCACATGCTGACACTTTTTAACTGTTCACCCTGGGCTAATTATTTAACACATCTAAGCCCAGTAGCATCACATGTTGCAGAGAGGATAAAATGAGCAAACAATGATAATAGCTCCTATTTATTGGGTCCTTACTCTGTGCCAGGCACTGTGCTAAATGCTTTAAATCAGTGGTTCCTAAGGGATGTAACTGTGTCCCCTGGGGACATTTGGAAATATCTGGAGTCAGTTTTGATTGTCTGGGGGAGCAGGACGGGGAGGGTGGGAAGGAAGAATGTTACTGGCATCTAGTGGGTAGAGGCCAGATGTTTAGAAGCAGCTAGATGCTTAAAGGCTCCTAAACATCCTGCAGTGCACAGAACAACTCTCCAAAAAGAATTTTCAGTCTAGCCCTAGCTGGTTTGGCTCAGTGGATAGAGCGTCAGCCTTCAGACTGAAGCGTCCCAGGTTCAATTTGGTCAAGAACACATGCCCAGGTTGCGGGCTCGATCCCCAGTAGGGGATGTGCAGGAAGCAGCCAATGATTCTCTCTCATCATTGATGTTTCTCTCTCTCTCTCCCTCTCCCTTCCTCCCTGAAATCAATAAAAATATTTTTTTTAAAAAAAGCATTATCCAGTCCAAAAATATCAATAGGGCTGGGGTTACATTGAGAAATCCTGCTTAAAATGTATCATTCATTTCACAACAATGATTTGAATTAGCCAATATTATTACTTCAATTCACAAATGAAGAAATTGAGACCTATATAAGTAAAGTAACCTGCCCAGGTTCTATAGAGTTTAGATCTAAAGAGTCTAAATTCATCTGATCAGAGCCTGTATTCTTAACCCCTGTACATAATTCATCTGTATTGTTTATCCTAGTGCCTAACATATGGTAAGCATTTCATAAGTTAGCTACTATAATTATTATTAATAACTCTCAAAACCCTGCCTCATTGCACTCATTGAGGGCTGCTACACTATACCCAAATCTTTAAGATCACAAACATAGAGCTCCCCAGTGGTTAAGTGAGGGCCCTTCCTTCTTCCTTCTTCTCTTCCTTTCTCCTGCAGATAAATGTCAGCAATTCCCCTTCCGTAGTGACTTCACTATACTCATTCTTCTCGCTCTCTAATTACAACAGGCAAGCTTTCTAGAAATATTTCCTTGTCACTGAAGTTTGGGGGACACTTGATTTAGGGGGACAAGAGTTCTAAGAGAAGTAATTCCTACTTTATTTTAATTCTTAAATTAAAGAATTATACTGAAGTAGCAGAATTCATCAAGTATTTCAAAAAAGAAATAGCTACAAGTTATCTTTATGACCAAATCTTCTGATTCCATTATGGAAAAGGCTATCTATTGATAGATAGCGAAAAAACTAAATTAACTCCTTTGACTTCCCAGCACATCATAACAGAAATAAAATTCAAAAGATGAGATCCTATAACCTAAGCAATAACCATTCCTTCTTTTTCCTTTTAAGAACAGTTATTTCAATATAAATGAAGCCAAATGATATGGTAACACTGAATAAAAGACTTAGTTATCCAATTTCTAAAGCAATTTGTCTCAAAGAATTTTACACATTAGATTTAAACAGCACCCAGATGGCACTCTGATGGGTGCTCCACAAATCATTAAATAGACAAATAACAGATTGTTCCTAAATAACCAAACCTCCCAGGACAAGAAGAAAAATTTGAAAAAAAAGATGTAAAATAAAATAATTAATCATAGTTAACAAAGCAATTATCAAGATTGCGAAACCTACTTTCAATATTGCTATGTTTTGAACAAAATGAGAGACAACACATCTTATGAGATGATTATCACTATACATAAGTACTAAAACAAAAGTTAACAAACACCTAATAGGACTGTCCTTTCAATATTTTCTAGGCAATGTTAGTTTAACTAGGAGTGAGGAGGTAAGGGTGATAAAGTAGCTCAGCCAACCCTGTGCCCATAGAAGTTTACAGCTTTTAAGAGTTCTCCATGAAAACCCAAATATTTGGGGGGGGGAGGGCAGAGAATCATCCAGTGGGTACACCACAGTCAATATGAGAAACAAAAGTGGAAAGTTTGAAGGTAAAGCCAAAAGTGGCTAAGCTCTTCCAATCCATCTATCTCCAACATTTGAGAGAATATCCCCCCAAAATGAGAAAACAATAAAACACTAAATTAGTCCCCAGATTTCATGACAATATGTTAAAACATCTCTGACATTTGTTGCTTTACAGTAACATTAAAATATCCTCACCACAGGCCATTAGAAATTCAAGTTATTGTCTCAGACTTACCTCTTTCAATGTAGACTGCAACCACTGGCCCACAATTGCCAAGCTATCTCGAGGACAAACGGCCCAAATCATTGTGAGGAAAATTAGACCTAGGAAATCCAATAAATGAACCACGCTGGCCTTTTCTGCCTGAGAATAATCGCAATAATGAAAATTACACTTAATAAATTGAGACAGCACATGCTTACATTTCCTAGTTCATCATGTGTAATCACATTAAATAACTACTTACGTTTAAATGACCTTCAAAAACTAAGATTGTAAGTTTTTTTTTTCTTCTGCGTGCTTTATCCTTTCCTAGTGTGCTTGTTCCATCCCTTGCTTACATACTTATATATTCACTAGAGGCCCGGTGCACACATTCATGCACCAGTGGGGTCCCTCAGCCTGGCCTGTGCCCTCTCGCAATCCGGGACCCCTCGGCGGATGTAGGACTGTCAGTTTCAGCCCAATCCCCGGCAGTCCGACATCCCCCGAGGGGTGTAGTAGTGCATGAAGTGGCAGGCAGCTGAGGAGGAGCCCGAGCCTGGGCCTGGCGCTGCGCAGCACTGCTCCCACTCATCCCGGGCCCACTGCACCTGCCACCGCCACTCTGTAAGCTTGCTGAGCAGCACTCCCGCTGTGCGAGCACACCAGCCACCAGGGGGCAGCTCCTGTGTTGAGCGTCTGCCCCCTGGTGGTCAGTGCATGTCATAGCAACTGATCAACCAGCATTTATATATAGAGAGAGAGAGATAGATATAGATTCATTCACTCACATATACTGAGCACTTACCATCACTCAGATACAATGACAGGTTCATTAATTTCTGGTTTCTTATATTAACAAGCATAGCAATCTTGTGAAATATGTACTATTATCCCTATTTTATAGTTAAAGAAACTAAGATGGAGCCAGGTTAAAAGTTGCCCCCAATTTACACAGCTATTAGAAAAAGGACAAGGAATCAAACCCAAGAAATTTTAGTTTCTAATATAGTTGCTAATTCTTTTTTAAAATCACATAAATGTGTTTATTATACTTTTTGGACAGAGACTACACACTACCTAACACATGAAGCAGTTAAAACAAGGAACAATTCAGAAAAAAATTAGAAGTTTACTTTAAATAAAAATCTTTTGGCCATCATGATCTTATATATGAAGTATGATTCACTTTATATGGGTTTGCAATTTTATAAGTTTGGTATTTCTCACCAGGAAACTGGATTCTTTGAATTTTTGTATTTACTTATAGCAATAATCACAAAAGGTTTTACTTAAAATAGTTGTTTTTAGTAATAATATTCATAAGTCTAGTGCACAGCATTGTTCATTGTTAGACTGAAAACTGTATCTTCTTTAAAATACAAAAGCCTTAACTGCTATTTTCACCAGTCTGAGCACAATAAAGTTTGACTACAATCCAAAATATACTATCCCTCATGTGAAGGTATGTGACAATGTTGCTAATACTGACAATATAGAAATCATTACTTCAATGTATGAAACATGGCTAACAACTAAAAGTAACCACTAGAATATTTCTCTTTACAATATAATCTGCCCTCATGAAGCATTCTTTATTTCATGATAAGAACTGTGGGTCGGCCATGGCCAGTGTTGCTAAATGGTTAGAGCACCAGCCCACACACCCAAAGATCATGGGTTCAATTCCCAGTAAAGGGCATGTACTGCAGTTGCAGTGTCCATCCCCAGCCCTGGTCGAGGCACGCATGGGAGGCAACTAATTGATGTGTTTCTGTCACATCAATGTTTCTTCCTCTCTCCCTCTCGGTCTCCTTTGCCCTCTATCCCTCCCTTCCACTCTCACTAAAAAACAATGGAAAAAATATCTTCAGGTGAAGATTAAAAAAAGAAAAGCACTATGGGTCATAAGAAACAATTATGGAATTATTTTAGCATGAAAGAGTAAAATTCCAAATGATGAAGTTGTTAGGGAAGAAGAAAATCTCTGTTATTAATTACTGAAGAATATAATTGCTATTATACAGAAAAATCTATGTTATTTGTGGACTAAAGAATACAACATAAAAGGCTCCATCAAATCAAAATGGAGACTCCTAAAAGAGAAAACATAGTGTTGATCATGTCTAAGACCTCTGCCAAAGTAATATTGGTAACTATTTTCTATTTCTAAGGCTGCTATTTACTTTTTGTGTCTCATCTAATTATTGTTCTTGCACTGACAGAGATTGTAACAATATGCTGAATGCAGCATTGAATGAGATGCCAGGAAAACAATGCACTAAATATTAACAGTTTTTAAATGCTAAAAATGGCCAAAATTAATTGATTTTATAGTTCTGAAGCCATTTCTTGAAAGATAAAATCTATTTTAACTGCTCAGATTTATTCTTGTATATGTTTCTTTAAAGGACATATTTTTAAATTTTTCCTACAACTCAGAAGAAATAAAGATTTTTACTATTTGTGCTTCAGAAAAGCACAACTTTGGCCCACCTCATCTAATTAATACTCTAAGGAATAGGTAGAATTTGAGATGAATTTTAAAGAAATTAGTAATATTATCATTTCCATTTAAAGTTAATATTACTTGCATTTCCTATATAGCATTTCACAATCCTTTCACTATTTACCTTCACGTTTTCAATTAAAGAGAATATACCTCTCTCTGATTATGTGGACAAAAGAGCCATGCATATTTTTAAAAACTTTTATTAAAGTATAATTGGCATACAATATTATATTAGTTTCAAAGAGTGATTCAACGCTTATATACCTTATACATTATTCCCATAAGCTATTACAATATTTTGACTATATTCCCTGTGCTGTATATCAATAAATAAATGGATTAAAAAAGAGCCATGCATAATTTTTAATGAATAAAAATAAAATATGAGTAAATAAATATAAACTTCTATGGGCTCACACCAAGTCAAACAAACAGATGTGCCTTCACAGGAACATGAACCAATTTGAATTCTGTGACCTATAAGAAAGTGCTGCCAACAACCAGGTAACTGTGGTAAAAGGGAGCAACAATGGACTTGAAAACAGAAGACCTGGGTTAAAGTCCCAATTCTTCCACTTTGTCACATCAGTGATGTTACTTAGAGCCTTTTTAAACATTGGTTTCCTCATAGACAATATGGGATATTAAATCCATACCTCATGAGGATGGCATTAAAATTATGAATGAGAAGGTACGTGTTAAAAAGCTCAATAAACTGTAAAATGGCAAGGTATCATTATTATTTCTCTTCATTAATTATATATGGCATATCTTTCTAGACATTTTCAAAGATGCTCCAAGCTATCCTCAGAGAATGAATAAAAAAGCAAGAAAACCAATTTACCCACTTAAATAGTAATATCACTTTCCCACAATTAATTTTCTGACTAGATTACCAGTATGCTAATAATTATAAAAAATTTTAAACCTAATTTGAAATAATTAGAGGTTGAGAATAATTACTTCTTAGTAAAAGAGACAGGTGATAAAAATAGTACTTAAGAGAAACACTAATTATTCAATATCAAATACTAAAGACCATAAAAACTCCCCAAATTAGACAATCATGTTTTTTCAGGTAACAGAATAAGACAATAACTGAAAACTAAAATTCCATCCAAAAGAAAGAGAAAGAAAATAAAAAGAAAACTGAAAAGATTCAGCTCTTTAAAAGATTTCACTTGCTAACTACAGTATTTCAACAACGGAGCACTCACTTTAGGTACTTACAGCATGCTCAAGTACTGCATGTGCTATTTCATGGCCCAGAATGAAGGCAAGTTGGTGCACATTAGCCACAGCATTGAAAAGCCCAGTGAAGACAAACACATGTCCATTCTGCACCATAAAGAAAATAATATAAGCAATTAGAACACCTTAAAAAAAACAAGACAGTTAAATTTAACCATTAAAAATTAGGCTTGAGAACATTTACTTACCGGAAGCACAAAGGCATTTATATCTGGGGAATCAACCACATGAATGATCCACTTGATCTCGGAGATCCCTGGGATATCTTTATTGCATTCAATTAAATGATAAAACACTTCTTTAATGTTCAGGTACTGGGCATCTTTCTCAGTTAGAAAATCATTTTTAAATTCTTCCATGTACTGAAAGATTAGAAAGAAAATTTGTCTTTAAGAGTTTTAGCTTGACAAAATGTTTATATTGCTTCATGAGAGTTATATGGTTACTTATTGTTGAACATTTTAATTTTTAATTATGTAAATATTCGCATATATAATACACTCAAATTTCTCAAATTTGAATTTTCTTGCAAAGGCAATGTGGTTTCTCACAAACTGAATAAATTCTAATAACTAAAATTTTTCACATAAATTAGTTCAAATAAAATCTTCACTCATCTTTTCTATTAGCCTATCCCAGTGGTCAGCAAACTGCGGCTCGTGAGCCACATGCGGCTCTTTGGCCCCTTGAGTATGGCTCTTCCACAAAATACCATGTTCGGGCGCACATGTACAGTGCGATTGAAACTTTGTGGCCCATGCACAGAAGTCGGTATTTTGTGGAAGAGCCACACTCAAGGGGCCAAAAAGCCGCATGTGACTCGTGAGCCACAGTTTGCCAACCACTGGCCTATCCTATATAATAAAGAGCTAATATGCAAATGGGTCACACCATCACTGCTCAGACACTCAGCACTGGGGAGAGAGGAATGGGGAGCCAGGCTGCAGCCCAGGAGAGGGACAAGCCACCTGCCCCACAGTCCCAGGCACCAGCAGCTGCCCCTGCGCCCCGGTAGAGGGGCAAGCCATCTGCCCCACGGTCCCAGGCACCAGTGGCTGGGGCTATGGCCCGGGAGAGGGACAAGTCACCCACCCCATGATTCTGGGCACCAATGGCTGCACCTGCACCTGCAGCCCAGGAGAGGGACAAGCTGCCCACCCCACAGTCCCAGGTGCCAGCGCCTGCGGCTACTGCGGCCAAGACGAAGCCGCCTGCCGGTCCCCTGCTGCACCTGCAGCCCAGGAGAGGGACAAGCTGCCCACCCCACAGTCCCAGGTGCCAGCGCCTGCGGCTACTGCGGCCAAGACGAAGCCGCCTGCCCATGGTCCCCTGCGGCTGTGGCCAGCCCGGGTCCTGGGTACTTGTGGCTGGCCAGAGGGAGGGAAGCCCAGGTCCCGGGTGCCTGCGACCAGGTGGAGGAGGAAATCCTGGGTCCTGGGTGCGGGGCGACACAGAGGCAGTTAGGGCCTATCAGGCCAGCAGGGGAGCAGTTAGGGGTGATCAGGCCGGCAGGGGAGCAGTTAGGGGCAAACAGGCAGGCAGGCAGAGGCGGTTAGGGGCGATCAGGCAGGCAGGCGAGTGGTTAGGAGCCAGTGGTCCCGGATTGCGAGAGGTAGTTGGACATCCCCCAAGGGGTCCTGGATTGGGTGCAGGCCAGGCTGAGGGGACCCCCCCCACACTTATGCATGAATTTCTTGCACCGGGCCTCTAGTAAGTAAATAAAATGCTTACATATTATTTTTATTTTTATAAGTATTTTAGAAAACAAAATATTGCCTAGAGAACATAAAGATTTCATGAAAGAAAGTAAAATACAAAAGAAAATTATTTTCATAACCTCCTGAATAGAAAAACACCTTATACTTAATAAGAAAGTTAAGCCTCTACAAAAAAAAAATTCCACATTTGATTAATTTTAAGTGTTTTATTCACACAGATTGAAAAGAAATTACTAAAATGTTTAGAACAACTGGGCATATCATTTTCTCTATATTATGCTGAGTGGTTAGTTATGAAAAAAACAGACACTGATGGGGTTCAAGCAAAGGTTTTAATACAGAACTACCCAAGGTGAAGCAGGCCAAAAGGACCCCCACTGAACTCCCAGAATTAAAGGGCCTCAAGCAAGTCTACTTTATTTATCCTGTTTGGAGACATTTTGAAAGCCAAGATTCAAAGATTATAATGAGAAATCTGACCTGTAATTCCTTCAAGCAATAGTTAGGGAGATGAATCAAAATGAAGACTGACAAAAAAAACCTGGGTCCCTTGACTCAACCCCTCACTGGGAACCCAAAGCCTTTACATCAGAGTGGGTAAAAGGGTCGAGAGGTAGAGAAGTTTCTGGACTCCTTGAGATGGGCACCCCACAAACGGGGGTACCAAAATCCATTGGTGAAGTCCTGGTGTGAGCTACCATTAGATTGAGAGAACATAAAGGTTTTTCTCCCAATGGAAAGGTTGATGGGATTATGAAAGCTGGAATGCTTAAACAGGCTTATGCAAATAACTTGTCTCCTTTACCTGAATGTCTGATGGGAAAAGATATTCTGTCTGCTTGGGGAATGCTTACCCTACCAAGTGTTGTAAACCCAAAACTATTAATAAAATCAGAGTGGAGGCTAAAAGGAAAAGGAACCACGAATAAGGAAAAACTACTGCAATTACAGTACTTAGTAATGGCCCTATAAGAACTTGTGTTTGAATTTTTGTACCAAGCAGGTTTTAAATTTGTAGATTAAAAAGTAAGAAATAAAGAAGAGAATATATGTATGTACATGTGTATCATTTTTTAAAGCTTCTTGGTAATGTGAATGGTAGAAATTGGCCCATGTCAGTATTTCCCAAACACTTTCCTCAAATTTGCCTCTGACTAGATTATATTCTAAGAAACATCTCAAATCTGTATAAATTCTACTAGGAAGGATGTTCTAGTGAAAAAAACATTGTTATTTCTCTTTTTAATGATACCTTTCCACTGGCAAACTCGGAAACTCAGTTGGAACAAAAGAGATAAAGTTCTAACCCTGACAGAGCTATCCAGGGGGGCTGTGAGACGTGAACACGGATTGAGCACACACGGTGTACGAGCTATGCACTGGGGACAGAAAGATGATCTGCCCTCGAGAGCTCACTAGTAGTGCAAAATGGTTAGCCACCTGAGTTATACTCCCCAAGTAGCCAAGGCTTCGAAATTCCAACTTTATTTTGCGTTCAAAAATTATCACAAATTGTCAAAACTGATATTACAAAAGAAATCAAAAACCTTTTATTCTACTTTACTTTCAAGGTACAAAAAAATCAAGACTATAGACCTAAATAGATACTAAGCACTGCTTTGTGCACTGTACTAGAGAAAATCATAAACAAAACAGATGGGGTCTCTGCCCCCATGGAGCTTACTCTAAGGAAGACAAATCAGCAAGTAAATAATCGTGTAAATAATTATGTTACCCATGTGATAAGTGCTTTCAAGGAAAAGTATCATATGCAAAGAAAAAATAAAGTAGGAGAAATAACACCAAGCACTGGGCACAACTGCAAAGGCGCTGATTCATAATTCAGTCGATATGAAGGAGACCCCCTTGAGCCCAATGTAGCCCCTGCCTAACCCAGTTTGGATAATGAAGGAAAGCCCTCCAGAGAAAGTGGCATTTAAGCTGACCTGTGATAAAAAGGAGTTAGCTGGGTGAATGGGAGGAAAGCAAGATAGTCAGTAGGAATACTAAATATGAAAGGTCTGAGCCTTTGCTGGGGACGGGGGGTTTATGATGCTAATTTCCTATCAAAGTCTACAATAAATATTTAAGAACCTTTCCTGCTTTCAGCATTATATTAAGCAATTAATTAAAAACAATCCTTACTACTTACTGCTTCATATTCCAGTTCTGCTAAAAGACTGAAATGTTCTTTCCCCAACAGCAGTAGCTTGGTCCTTCCTGTGATTGGACTCACTTCCAGGTGAGTGAAATAAAACACTACGAAGAGAAATCCAAAAGTACTCAACCCCAGGAGTAACTTCCATTTGTTCTTCCTTACACTTTCTTTAAAGTGTTCCTTCTTGTTGGGAGGAAGTGCGTGCCACCATTTCCTTATGCCCCTAGAACGAAAAGAAAAATTCAAGGTTCTGATAATAGTATCAGTACATATCACCAAAACTAAATGCTTATTGCTAGAATTTTATGTCATCAAATACTTGAATTTATGATATTCCTCGGTATAAATGTTTTTTTCAAAAATTTATAAAATTCTTAGCTAAATGAAAAAATTAACTATATAGAGCTATAGTTAAAAAAGTCTAATGTTCATTTTAATTTTCTTCAGTTATTTTAAAGGTAAACGTTAAATGAGGGGGTTTATTACTAAACTACCACTAGTTAACACTGACTGACTGCTGACCACATATAATGTACTCTTCTAATCCTCATACAGATGTCATCTCATTCAACCTTCATAAGAACCATTACAGGAGAGAAAATGGAGACGGAGGGAAGTTAAGCAATTTGTCCTAGGTCGTAGAGGTGATAAGAGGAAAACCAAACAATGAAGCAATGTGATTCCAGAGTCTGAGCCCTTGACCACGTCATTGGGAATGGACTGCCCACATAAACATCTCTACCTTGAACCACCATTCTCCCCACTGCTGATCAGACCCCCAGCATAAGCTGCCAGTGCTTCAGCAAGTGAAACTACCTCAGCACTGATTTTAGAGATAAGTATTGCTCAGTAGCAGAAACTCCATCCCCTCTAGACATGACAAAGGACAGGTAATAAGAGCACAAGCAAAGAAAAGAAGGAAATCAGAGATTTTATAGGTAACACCTGGGGAGCTCCCATTTCTACCCGGCAACAACACTCCCTGCTGCTCATCAGAGCCCAGAGACATTCTGACAAGAAGCAATGTTTTCAAGACTGGGACAAAAATATTTTCTTTGTGAGTTCATCTATGAAAGCACAACAAAAATTTAAAACCTACACATCATTCTCTTGACAAAAAATTATTTTATAAAATAACTTCTTTAAGTTATCTTAACTTTGTTGTCACACCGAAAATGCTTCTAAACTTTAGAGTCTAAAGCAGGGGTGGGCAAACCCTATTTAAAACTTTACATGACTTGTCATTATTTGTTTAAATTTATTTAAAAAAATATTCTAAAAGAAAATTTACAGTCGTAACCACAACAATAAAAACGTTAAAAATAAATAATTTAAAAGGATGGAAAAGAGCTACTGGCCCAAGAACCCAGGCTGACCTGTGACAAGGATTCTTTCCTCCAGCAAACGCAACTCGGGGTCTCCTGAACTCCTCTTCAACTAGGCCTTCACTTTCAGACTCTGCACGGTCCAATATTAGCCAGAATCCCCCATCCTCCATATCTGATCACCCCGAATCTAACTGGGAGCTGCATCCTCCACCAGCCCCCAGGTGATACCCGATCACCCTCACCTGCCTTCAGCAAGAATCGTGTTAGGTCTGTTCAGGCAGAATCTCCCCTTACTCCCGATGTTGCCTCTAATTTTCCATCCGCCGACCCCTGACCCCTGCTCCTCGGCTAGAAATGAATTCCTACTTGGCCATGATGTATTCAGAATTGACTCTGGTTCTACACCGAGGCCTCCTTTCTCCTACTACAATACTCCAGAATAAAATCTGTTTTTACTGCTTTAACTATGGCCGAGTTCTGGTTTTCTTCGACAGTAGTTACTTACACTGAGAGCTAATCTGGCTGTCTATTTTCCGCATGCTGATGCCAAATCATAAAGGACACAATAAATTACAGGGTACAAGTTCTCAATTTTGATAAAAACAAAATTGGGCTGGTATGAAAGTAAGAAGGCTAGAAGGAAGTTCACTGTTATTAAACATAAGAAAGCTTTATGAAGAGATAATGCTTAACTTTACCTTTCTTCAATCTTCATGGAGCCAATAAGAGAAAACAGGCTTATGGGGAGAGCAAATTAAATCAGATATAAAGTACTGCCATTTAGCTTTAAAAATATTAATTATTATAAAGGACTACCAAGAGAAAATAATAAAGATTTGTTAAAAACAGAATAGAAAAAAATAAGTAAATATTAATGGTTTAAGAATTAACTTGGCTAGGAGTGAGCCCATTCTTTGTTCTGTTCTTTTTTAAAAAAATATTAACTCCTTCACTTTATTTTTTAATTTTCTTTAGCGAACTTTAAATTTTATTTTTCAATTAAAGTTTACATTCAATATTATTTTGTATTAGTTTTAGGTGTAACGGCTCATTCTTTTTTAAAAATACATTTTTATTGATTTTAGAGAGGGAGAGGAGAGAAACATCAATGATGAGAATCATTGACCAGTTGCCTCCTGCACGCCCCCTACTGGGGGTGGAGCCTGCAACACAGCACATGCCCTGACAGGGAATCAAACTGTGATCTCCTGGTACATAGGTGCCGCTCAACCACTGAGCCAATCGGGCTAAGCAAGCTCATTCTTAAATAAGCAAAATTCTTCAGTTTCGTGATCTACTGCCTCAAATCCCATACACTAAAAATGGGATGTTTGTAAAGCACTGTTCTTATCCATGAGTTATAATCAACATTTCTGAATCTTTTTGCAATCACGTATACAACGTCAATCTTTTAAAAAGTGTCTATATGAGATACATAAGAATAATTTTTATAAGATAATATGCAGTAAATTATTTCAAGATTACTAAATCCTACATAACAAAACTGAATCTTAACTTTGAGCTAACTATGGGAGGGAAATCTAACGAATTTTCCTTCAAAGTGTAGTTTTACCAATATCCTTTAATACAAAAGCTTTGGGTTTTTTTTTTAAAGCATTTTACCTGCCAACAATGATTGCAAGTAGTTTCTGCACTGGTTTAAGAATTATCCACAAGAGAGGGATGGGAGCAGCTTGCCACCGTGGAGAAGTGTGGAAACTCCTGATGTCTCTTATGGGAAAGCAGTTTAGAGGATGCAATACTGAAAGAGCGGGACCTACTGCAACTTCTTCTATCAGTTTCTGTCTTGGAAAAGAGTCACGCCATGCTGTACATGTATTGTCCTTGCTTTTAAGACAAAAGAGGTATCCTGCCCTTTTGTTATTAAAAGTTCTATAGAAATGTGAGTTTCCAGGCAGAGAAGTCACCCTATTACACCGATTTACTCCCAGTTTGCCTTCAATATTATTTACTATGTGGTTAAGTTGTACTTGATGACAGTCCAGTGAGGTTATAGCTGTTGTGTTACATTTTCTCCAGTTGGTCAGTAAATTAAATCGGAAGGAAACACAGTTTCTAGTAGCAGACTGCAATCCATAGACGAAGCTCATCTTTCTTTTGCTTGATTATCTAGAACCCAAAAAAATAAACTATAAATATCTCTGGAAAATATTTATTTACCAAACTGGAAACATAACACGTTAGGAAATAGGTGTGTCAGTCCTTCCTTTAACACATCTCACACTAATTACCTGGGGTTTCTCACCCCTACAGCAGTGCCTTTGAGCAATACAAACCAAAGAGGCTTCACTTACTTTTTTCTTATTCTTCAACATGTACTTTCAAAACTTTTCTTCTTTCCATTTTTTATTTTTACTTGGAGGAAGTCTATTTTTCTTTTTAATCCTCACCCAAGGACATGTTATTGAGAGAGAAACATCAATCAGTTGCCTTCCCCTATGTACCCCAACCGGGGATGGAACCCACAACCTAGGAACGTGCCCTGACCAGAAATCGAACCCGCAACCTTTCAGTGTATGGGATGACACTCCAACCAACTGAGCCACATCGGCCTGGGCAGACACCTATTTTTATTTTAATGCTAAATTATTTAGGGGATAAGAAATGAATTACATAAAAACAGTAGCAAAGTTTTATCAATTGACAGTAATGGGGTGGGGAGGGGGCCGGAGAAGCAGGTAATGCTTATAAGCCTAACTTGTAAGATGTTGTTGTTTTTTAAATACAAATTTATTCCTTTCAGGAAAACACTGGCACTTCTGATTGGGGTAAAGGTGGCATGAGACCAGACGTATCCTCCCACCTAAAACAACTAAAGATACAGACAGAATAAATAAACAACGGTTTGAACACCCTGGACATTAGGCAATGAAGGTGAATATCAACAGAGCCATACTGATGTAAATACAGATTCATGCCCATCTAAAGGAGATCCAACAAGAACAATGGAATTTGGGCTTTGTGTTGCCAAATGTTCCAATATTAAGGAAAGCCGCCAGAAATCAGGCTCTATGTGAAAGTTATGAATTTAAAAATGTTGGCAACCAACTTAAAAAAAAAAAATTAACCACCTTGACCGAACAAACATTGCCAGACCCTATTCAGTGTTTGATCTCTGAATCATGTTCTTCACTCATTCATTAAATAGTTCATTAGGAGTGCACTACATGCCATACCATATGCCAGTGCTGGTGAACCTTTTGAGCTCGGCGTGTCAGCATTTTGAAAAACCCTAACTTAACTCTGGTGCCGTGTCACATATAGAAATTTTTTGATATTTGCAACCACAGTAAAACAAAGACTTATATTTTTGATATTTATTTTATATATTTAAATACCATTTAACAAAGAAAAATCAACCAAAACAATGAGTTCGCGTGTCACCTGACACGGGTCATAGGTTCGCCATCACTGCCATACGCCATTCTAAATGCTAGGAATAGCACAGGAAACATAACAGCCAAAAAAATCTCTACCCAATTTGCAAAAATGGTAACGCTACACTACGTTAGCATATGCAAATATAAGTAAATCTAAAGGAATATACACCAAACTATTCATAGTGGTTATTTTGGGTGGCAGGATGGTGGCTGTAAGGGATTTAATATTTCCATCATATATACTTCAGTGCTGTTTAAATTTTTACAGCGTCTATTATTACTTCTGTAAGCCTCCAAACCAATAAAGGCAACTGTTTTTGTAATTTCCATTGGTTTCCACTGGCTTCAATAAACTCCTCCAAAAGGGTAGACCAGGCCTCCCACTATTTCTCCAGGCACCTTCCCCTCCTCTCCTTCACCGGCTCCTGAGCTCCAGACCCACTGATGTACTTACACTTCTCAGAAAAGAAAAGCTGTCCTCTCTTCGACAACACACATCTATTTACACTACTCAGCTCTGCCCATGGCCAAGCAAACCCCTGCTCATCTCTCAGGGCTTTTGCGAAAAAGTCCTCTACTGACACAGAACGTGTAACATTATACGAATATAAGTTTTAAAAAAATTTACCATTTGCATCACTGACAATCAAGTGTCACCCAGAACAGCAATAGTGCCTGATAGTTCATAATCCTTGGTTTATCCTTAAGAAAGGGGAAAGAATGGGAGCGAACGCTATCCATTTTCAAAGAGCCCCTCACACAGAGCAGAAGAAAAAAAAAATCAGGGCTGACACATCCACTACAAAGAACTGAAGGAGGTCAACAAACATCGCTGGCAGACATCTAGGATTACGAAATTAATGATGTGAGAAAATTAAACAATTTGGATTGTTAGCCTCTAAGAACATTTCAGACCCTTAATTCTTTAAGTACCATCTCAGAAGGAGCAAGTACAGCACTCACAGCTGACGCCTGGAAGACAGTTTTCCCTTAATTCTTTAAGTACCATCTCAGAAGGAGCAAGTGCAGCACTCACTGGCACTCACAGCTGACGCCTGGAAGACAGTTTTAACAACTCCGCTGAAAATGACTCTTTCTCCTCTGGTTTCTATGGAAACAGCTGTCAGATTGGCAAAAATAGGGCATGTACTTTAAAATAATCATTCAAGCAAAGTACACACAGGATGGAAGGCTTAAAAAAATAAACTGGAAGGCAACAGACTCGGTTCTTAGGCTTCCAAATGTCAGACTGCACCCTTCCCTCCGCGCGGCCGAGAATGCGGATATGCACCTCAATCCTCGCGGCCGAGAATGCGGATATGCACCCCAATCCTCGTAGGGAGGGCTGGGCACTGGTCAGCGCCACTGTGGCTGACCGGGCCCTGAACTCCAAATGCGGTCTTGCCATCTCCGGGACTAAAACCTCAGAGGCCCGTGTGGCTTAACAACACTCTCGCTCCACTTTACACAAGCGAGTGACGTTACTTAAATAGGTTGTTTTTAAAAGTGATTGTTGTGGACAAGCTTATGTAGAAGTTTGCACAGGAATTTTCCTATTTCTCATTGGCAGGTTCAGGCAGGAAAACTTTTATTTCTCTAGGAGTGAGGAGTAAGAGAGAGGGCGTGACTCCCAGGCGCCTCCAGCGGCGGGAAGCGGAGTCCCCCGGGGGCACAGGATGCAGGGGGACGCACAGGACGGGGTGGTGAGATAAACAGGAACCGCAGACCAGCAGGAAAGCCTGGGGGTGGGGGTGGGGGGGGGGGGTCTTCCCGGAAAGCACGGCCGCCTGACAATTGCAACTCCGGTGGTCCCCGGGCAGCACCCTGGGTCCTTGCATTTCACACCACGAGGAGGGGGAAGAATGACGCTTTCTTCCCACCTAAACCTTTTCTACTCACCCCTCTCTCCCCATTCCCGCTCCGGCGCCCCTCCGTTCCTCCCCGCCTCCACCCCAGTCCTCGCCACCCCAACCCCGCCGGGTCCCCAGGGACCCCCGATCCTCACCCCAGTGCTCCTGGAACTCCCCACCCCTGGGCCCGGCCAACTCAGAAAGGCAGGGCAAAGGCGTCCCCACGCGGACAGACGCCAGCAGTGGCGAAAGCGGCA